TTTAAAAGAAAAAAAAAAAAAAAAAAAAAACATGTCAGCTGTTCACTGAAAAGAAGAGGAAGACAGGAACCCTTAATGACCTAGCATTGCACAGTAACCCATAGCGATGCATTAATAATCATCTATAATTGTTGATAAATAAATTAATACATTCTTGAATTACACTTGCATAATACTTAGTATTAATCCATATAAATTAACTATATTTAATGTAATGTCCACTTTAAGAGACTTGTACTGCTATAACAATCAGAGCACTACAGAAATTACAATGTTTCCTAATAAAAATAGGGGCGCTGCCATTGCTCATATAGTTGCCTGGCTGTTATACTGGCCATCTTGCTTTATTATTTGTCATTGACCCAGAAGAAGTATACACATCAGACAATTCAAGGGGAAAGTCAGAAGTCTGGATCTAGTTCATGGCTCAAATTACTTTTGGGATTGAATAGCCTCTATGTTTCTCTCACAAAAGGTTTTTTGTTTTCCAGAAGTTTGAGTAACATTGTTTGATCTCTCAGCAAGGACTAAAAATTATAGGAGCTGTTCCAACACTGGTAAGTGTGACACTCTGTCTTCACTCTTTAGTATATGTGTAGCGCATCCCCTAAGGTGCAGCATACAGTAGTGTAATGGGTCTCCCTGTATTTACTCAATAATGGATCCACAGCACACCCAAAGAGTGAAAATACCTTGGTCCTATGGTTAGTTGCTATGGGTTACCACAGCTCAGTAATTTCCATGTCTAGGGGTATTTATATTCACTTCACTCATTAGCACTTACCACCCTCTGTGTCCAGACTGTAGATGTGATGCTGAGAAACTTTATTGATGAACTTCAGGGAGAGAGGATGAGGGTCAGGGTCATCCAGGCTGATGTAGACTCCTGTAAGTGACAGGGTGTAGTAGCTGTCTTCATTCACAGCATTAAGAACACCTGGCACAGCAACACTTGATGTAGAAGTCACCAATCAGTCTAGTGACCACTGGGCCGCAGACGTAAGCCTCAGTGTAAGCACATGGCTAGTCCCCAGGCATCAGGACTAGCCATCTCAGACTGTCCATAGCAGCCTCCCCACAGGCAGGGCCCAGGGAAGGAAGAGAGAGCTAACATGGTCCACCCCAAGTATGTATCTCCTCTCCCATCATGCATCACTGACCATTAACCTCCCGGTGATCGGCTGGGGAGACCTACTCACAGTAATCTCTTATTGGTTGCTCTGCTCTGTGACCAGGGTACACCCAGCAGCAGACAGATGCAAACAATGACAGACTGATTAGGGGAAACCAGATGAGCATAGACTACAAATCAGCATCAGTCTGATTACAATCTGACAATATCTAAATTTAACCCCTTCATGACTGAGCTTGTTTTTAGTTTCTGTTCGTAAGCACTCCTGCTTACAGGCTGCTACATATGTATAATCTGTATTTTCTTCAGAGGTCAGGAGGTTTTGCACATTATCAACAGAACAAACTATTTTTTGCATGCCAGCAGCTTTTTGTTCTTGTGAGATTAATCCACGTCAATTGAAATTATTCTGGCTAATTCCAGTTTAAGAATAGAAACATATTTAAAACATGAAAAACAGGAAAACAAGGCTTTCCTTTGTTCACTGGTTTTCATTACCAATTACAAGGCCCGCATCTGTTTATTTCTGTGAGAAGTGAGAAATATTTTTCACTAATTGCCATGTACAAATACATGTGCAGAAACCTTACATGAGGCCTTTTAATTATTCCATTGTATACAATATGTCCCTAAGCATATGACAGGACATGTTACATGAGATAACAGAGTAGAGCACGGCAAAAGTATACATAACAAGAAAAAATAAAAATCATACATATTCCACCTTTTCCAATTACCTAATCTTCATGTTCTATGCCAATATAGCAAGATCGGTCACTCTACAGAAATTGTATAACGTCACGTTGATTGCATGACAATTAGACTACATGAATGGGTACCTTTGGACTAATGTAAAATGAGTATAAAGGAAATGAAGATCTAGATGTTGAAAATCAATTAAAACAAATACTTGCATCTTTTTGTGACTGAAAGAAACATCACACAATCTGTTGCAGAACACTTTATTCCACTTTGTCAGTGAATATAAATCTATTGGGGATGCTAAAGAGACTAACCACCCACCCGTCCACCGTACGCTGAAAGACGGCCGGATGGGAGTCTCCTGGATGTGGCTGGGCGTCTTTAGACACCCTTTGTGCCCGCTCGTGCGCGCCAGGGGGTGCGCTCGAGCGGGAAACCGCCAGGATTTTAAACGGCCAGCGATGGCCGTTTACATACAAGTGGTCCGGCGTCTGAAAAGACGCCCGATCGCTTGTATGAAGCAAGTCAGTGTGACCCCCCCTCTTACCTCTTCTCGCCGTCACCGCGATCCTGGGCGTCATCCATCCCGGGCGATGCGGCGGCTCTGTGCACTGAGAACGGAGGGAGTTCAGTACAGATCTCCCTCCGCTCTCCTCCTGGTCTCTGAATGCAGGAAGTGATGTATGTTACATCACTTCTGCATTCCCCTGTCACTCTCTGGTACAGAAACCGGAGAGAAGCTGATGAAGCACGTGTGCTTCATCAGCTTCTCTGGGGGGTCCCTAGGTGACATTAGGGGTCTTAGAGACCCCTGATGTCTCCATAAAGGGGACCTGTCACTGCAATTTTTTATTACATAGGAAACTTCTTAGCACCCTATGCGATAACAATAAAGTTACGTGTAAAAAAAAAAGAAGTAAAAAACAAAATTGCTCACAAAATAAATAAAATTTACACACACACAAATAAAAAAAAAACACAAAAGTTTAATAAAGTCCTCCACCCCCACGTAGATGCGAAAAATGTGTTAGGTGTGCCTACACGCAAAAACGACGATTGCACACAATACGCCGCACATGTTACATATCGCCGCGAACGTCGCAGTGAGAGCAATAATTTTAGGGCCATCAATCACTGATAACACTAAACTGATGAGCGCTAAAATCTTTTAAAGCAACGCCCATGGCCAATTTTGGCTATGATAGTTTTTTTGCGATTTCGCGGGCGTGCGCAATTTTAAGGCTTGACATGTTTGGTGTCTATTTACCCGATGTGACCCCGCCTTTTATATTTTACCAAAAAATTGGGTACAAATAAATGTTTCCTAAAATAATAAAGGGAAAACCGTTTAAAAAAAAAAAAAAAACATTCGGTACTTTTTTGTTATATAGTAAAAAATAAAAACCCCTAGTGGTGATTAAATACCACCAAAAGAAAGCTCTACCTGTCGCCAAAAAATGGTATCAAATTTGTTTCAGTACAGCGTTGCATGACGGAATAAACGTCAGTTGAAGTACCGCAGCGCTGAATACTGAAAAATGGCCTGGACAGGAAGGGGGTCTACACACCCCGGCAGCAAGTGGTTAATACCTGTTCAGGCTCTTTACATTAAAATCAACCATTCTTAAAAAATGTTCAAGAAGGCTTTTTACATAGCCTTCACATTCACAGGGTTATTTGCAAAAGGGTGAAGAGTTTGCAGAAGACAGGAGAAGTGAACAATCTAGGACAACAGAGCTGAACTGGAAAGGGAGCTGAATTGAAGAATATTTCCAAATCGGCTATGATGTCCTAGATTGTTCACTTTTCCTGTCTTCTCCAAACTCTTCACCCTTTTGTGAATAACCCTGCTAGTTGTGGTATTACTCCACCAGGTTGGTTCCTTTGAGTTTGCATAAATTTGAGGGAGCAGTCAGTCCATGACCACCAGAAGATTCCATAGTGTAATATAAAGACATTGTCTTACAGTGAGATCTCCCATCATTCAACACAGCCTCTGAAGTACAGAGATTATTACCATATTCCTTCAGATTGGCAGGCTTCTGAAATAAGTGACAAATGGGCTAGAGGGGAAAGACTGAGCTTTAATAACTTCTTTAAACATAAACATTTTATACTATCTACAGACAGGATATTTTTGCAGTTTTATAGCTGCACTATTTACTTATTTTCATTGCAAGCTATAGTAACTGTTTATGTCATTATGAGCCTCTAACCTCTAAAAATAAAGATATTCCTCCAAGAGTGTGAACATGAATGGCTGGGCCATCTCACAATGGTTCATATTACCTGAGAATGAAAAACAAAATAGTCTGTTCTTTTATAAAGTGAAGCCAGAATCAGAGGCTTCATTCTGCACAAGACAACTGCAAGAAGTCACATATAAAATAGGACATGATGTATGAAACACAAAAGATAATGCCCGCTGGGGAAACATAATACCAAATATTTATTGCATGGCTGACACTTACCGTACTCACCTGGTTTAAGGTCTAATGCAGTCAATGACTCTGAATGCAAGAAATACAATGTCGGGCTGACTGTAAACAGGACGTAATTGTCATGACGTTCATCTAAGATAATAAGGACCAAATCTCCAACCTGGAAGCTGTTGGTGTAAAAGACGCAGAGAATGATTTTTTTTACAAGTGCAAATTGTTTTTTTAATTTTTTTATTATTTAAGCCTGTTTATTGATAAATGTAACAGTATACAGGCATACGCTGGAACAAGTATAGTGGATACACATGGCCACACTTGTGCAAATGTTCCACAGAGAGCATAACAAAGCTGAAAAGCAAATCTAGTTCTTGAAGATTATAGTCAATAACAAATAGTTTGTACAAATAGTTTAAAAGGTAAGGCACTGCAGAGTTAGGAGTAGAGATGTAAAATTTCCAGAAATTTTTAAGCTATGAGAAGAAAAAAAAAAATTCCCTGTTTTCTTGTTCCGGAAAAAAAATTGGAAATTTTCGGAAAAACTTTAAAAAAATCAATATGGAAAATTTTTTACAAATTGAAAGTAATTTTGTTACACTAGGTAAATAAACTAAACTTTTTAGTACAAATGGAACAAGGACTGTATTTGTTAATAACATTTCAACTATACATGAGAACAGGTAACCACCCCCTTTCCCTCAAAAGCAGCAAAACAAACAAGAACATATTTGCAAATTGCAGGTTTGCTCTCAGCAGAAGCTGCAATATGGAAATGTTTTACCATCTGAGAAGATAAAGAGCCTCATCCATACATACCACAAAAGACTTCAAGCTGTCATTGATGTTAAAGGGGGCAACACACCGTATTAAGAACTGGGGTATGTAAACTTTTGATCAGGGTCATTTGGGTAGTTTCTGTTGTCATTATGATTGGAAAAGAGTAAAACACAGTTGATTGATAATAAATGGCTTCAGCCAAACACTACCCATGATTGACAGAAATGTTTTCGTGTTATCATTCATATTCTCTGAAAAATGGCCAGGGAATCATAAATTCTGCCAGGGTATGTAAACTTATGAGAACGACTGACTGGATGTATGTATGTATGTATGTATGTATGTATGTATGTATGTATGTAGCAGGTATTCCTCACTTAACGACCGAGTTCCGTTCCTACGACCAGGTCGTTAAACAGATTGGTCGTTAAGTGATAATTTATTGAATAGAGCCGATGCTATTTTTGTTTTGCTTGCTGGGTTTGTCACAGAGGCACTGGAGCTCTTCAGCTGCCACTGTACTGTGCTGGGGTTCTGGTGTGTCTTTGCACCAGATATTGGCTGCCTCCAGGTGTGCCTGTCCTCAATTTATTGATTGCTAAGTTGAGTGACTCAATAGTTGTGGTAAAGGGGGTAGGTATGTTTGAATCTTGTGTGCATCTATTTTTACTTTGATTTGAAAACATATATTGATGATGCTGCAATCAGAGCCTCACATTCTCAAAACAAATTAGTAAACTAAACATGAGATTGTAGGCAATCACGGGAGTAAGCTTGGAGTGATGATAACTTTACAACACACACAGGGACCATGGGGAACAAAAGTAGCCACCCTCCAGAAGGACAGTGTCAGCACCAATTCAGAGATGATTTGATAATCTACAGTTGAGTGATACACAATAAGCTAGTTTTGTTAATAATTAAGGTACGTCAATTCATTTTTAAGATTTAACTCCTGAGTCTAGTGCCAATTTAATTCATATTTTAGAGTTGGGGAGCATTTAGTGCACTGCATTTAAATGAAGTTGCAGTGCAGTTGGCTATTATGGCTCCTTTATTTTCTAACAACTGGGGTGCTATAAAATTACTACCTATATTACCCCCACGCCGTCTATGGGCCCAATAGCCAACACCAACGAAAACACCACAGTGCATAACAAATAGGAAATCAGCTCTACAATCTAGGTAGCAAGTATATCATTTTATAAGTAGACATTATACCAATATAATGCAAAATGCATCCAATATTTTTCCTCCAACATATAATTGTACTTTTCTCTATACAGATATCGTCTGGTCCTAACAGTGGAACAGACCAAGTAAAAAAGGCTCTTTTTCTAGTGAGCAGGCTGTTCACTTTGCAGGGGAATTTTCCCTTAGCCTGATGAATGTGGTGATATTGAAAATAAACATTATTTTTGCTTGCAGTGTACTCATTTACCATTTTTCTTTTCTTTTTTTTATTACTGAACATTCTAGACTGCATTTATACAAATGATTTTGTAAAGCAGAGCAGACACTATTGGTTAGGCAAAACAACTGCTCTTAATACTATCTAAATAGCCCTAAATTTTAAGACAGTGGTCTGTAAATATTGAATTGTATACGTATATTTTAGGGTCTGTATGATGACCTTCACAATGCAAGTCATTTATTTTGCCTAATAAAAACTTCAGCTCTTCCGTGCGGTTTAATGACTTATTTGCAGAAGGGAAACTTAGACATAACTGTATATACTTCTTGTTAACTTTACACTGGCATCCCATATTGTATGCTGTACCAGCTATTTCAATAAAAACATGTGTGTCCAGCTAATCACGTCTAAAGGACATTTTGGAAAATAACCTAGGGTAATATAAGTCTGCAGACTTTTTTTTCTCATGCCCTAAAATATAATAAACTTATAACAGCCATATAGGCTCAGGGCAAGAATAGCCAGGAAGCAAATACCACATTTTAAAGCCAAAAGAGAGCTTTTGTCTTGAATTGCTTTCATGTATCAAGCTCTCCATGAGTTGTGCATATATGTGAATGACTCTATAAAATAAAATATTTGATCAAGTACCTGCAACACCTGGTGATGTACACATATTGCAGGAAGCCTTAAGCTCTTAGCTGAATACATAAAACTAGGTTATTATTAGTTAATATGGGTTTCTACAGTTTGCATGTCATCATTGCCCTTTGCATTTAATTAATAAACTTGCTTATCTAACAAAATCAGATAGTATGTTTTGAACCAAAAGACAGTTCATAAATGTATTTACCGTTGTGTAAAACATAGAACTGTCACTGTAAAAAAAAAACATGCCTACAAAATTGACACATGTCTTTTTTGAAGCTGATCATAAAAACTGGATGGCTTTCACCCGAGCAGGTTGTGACAACTTCACATCTATGGGGTGAGGCAGACAACTTCTAGCTCACAGTTTTTTTTTTTTCAATAACTGCCGATACAAAATTCTTTGTTATGTAATGTGTACACTTTAAAAATAATGAGAATGGCCCCCAGAAACAAGATTAATCAAGAACTTTCCATTAGTATTGCATAATTGTTTATGGATATATGAAATGAAATGCTCAGATCTTATTTATTATTTCGAGAAGGCAAATACAAAAATGGATATACCAGATTTTGTTATGTCAGCAGGTTGAATCTCCTACCAGGTTCCTTTATCTCTCAAGGAAGTGTAGTTCCCTTCCCTGGCTACGTTAAAGGGGAATTCAAGCTTACATTTTGGTCAGACAGTATAAACGTGCCACAACTAACCAATTCCAAGATATTTTGTTACTTAAATAAAGCTAAATGAGATATCCAGTGAAGTTCACTTAGAATGAGTACTAACATGACAGCCCTATAGAAAATGAAACAATCGTCATGTAAAACATTAAAGGGTGTTAGAACCCATTTACCAACATAATCGTCTGGTATTTTCTGTGGTACTAAACTTATCATAACGGTCATAAATACAGATAAATAAATACATTTGTCTTGTCAGTGAAATTGACAAGTGTTTTTTCAGTATTTTTGAGCAAGTTTCTGATGCTGGAGCAAAGACCTGCAAAGCCTTTTTTCAGGTTTGCTCAAACACTAATCAAAACTGAAGGGGTCTGTCCTAGTAGGAAATATGGTATGTGTTGGAGATGTTTTCATTCCTGAACTGTATAAAAAGACATGTTATTGGGAGAGACTGATGTATGTGAAGAAACTGTTCATTTCCCTGTGGTGTAAATGGCTTCATCTCATTTTTAAAATTGGTTCTTTTAATGTTGAAAATAAGTACAAGTTCCTTTTCAAACAACACTCAGATAGCGGTGAATGGAATTGATAAAGTCAGTTAGTAACAGAAACAGGAGCATGTCCAATGTAAATCTCACTTGGCAAATCAATGCATCTACAAAATTGATCCACTGACTACAACAGTTCTGCAACAGACCTATCATTGCACTGGGCACTGCTCTGTGTTCCAGTGGGGAGGAGAGAAAGTGACAGCCGGCCAAGCGTTGCAGGACGAGAGCGCTGTGAGCGGCCGGCAGAGCGGTGTGTGGGCGGAGACAGCCAGCGCTGTCACAGGAGGCTGAGCTCACCTCCCTGCTCCACACGATCAGCCTCCTGTGACAGCGTGTCAGAGAGGAGAGCGAGCACAAACACTCAGCGATCAGTGATCGCTGAGTGTTTGTAGATAATTGAGGACATGGTATGTTAACTATAGCCTCAATTATGAATGGATGGGAGGTGAGCTACATCACCTCATGTTCATTCATTGTTGTAGGTATAGTAAACATAGCATGTCCTCATGTTATCAATGAACAGGAGCACTCATTCCTGTTCATTAATAACAGGGGATACAGAAAAAGAGATAGAGGACTTTGTGTCCTAAATCTCTTTTTCCATTTTAAAAAGGGAAACATCAGGGGTCTGTTTAGACCCCCAATATTTCCCCAAAGCCCCTAAAAGCAATGTAAAAAATATTTAATAAAAAGTGAATTAATAAATATAAAAACATTTAAAAGTTTATAAAAAATAAATAAAAATAAAATATTAAAAAGATTTTAAAAAAATAAAATAAACATTTTCGGTATTGGTTTCGGCCTGACAATTTTTTTAAATTTCCATTTCGGTGCACCTCTAATATTTACTTTTTGTTTCCATAGCACCCCGTCCCAGTCTTTAACTCATCTGTCTCCAATCCAGCAAGATTGTCAAAATCTTCAGAGCTGACCTGGCCTGGAGGACTTTGTCAAATAGGTTAGCAAACAGATTTGAGACAAGTTAGTAAAAGACTGGTCATAGGTATGTTTCTATTTGGGCTATTTTGAAGAAGAAGAAGAAAAAAAAAGGTGAGAAATTATGAATCAAGCTGTGCTAAAAATGTATGTACATAAACTCATTCCAGCATTAGCCACGCATCATTGCTCTTGACCGCTTCTTGATAATAACTATGCAATGTGGGTTGGCATAGCCACTTGTAGTCTCCATTTGTAGTTTTTGCTTTGTGCTTTATATGCGTAAGGAATATCAATTAAAGAATACTGATACTGAGACACATATGTAGGTTGCATCTACAGTAAATATGCAGATCAGATCTTCTGAATTCACTGGCTACATACATTTAATGGGTCAGTGAGTCATGGTCATCAGGCAACTAGCATTTGTTTTTGGAAAGGAGAGGTCAGCAATGCCCACTCGTACATCCTTTCAGCATTACTGGTCATTGTACCATTCCTAAACTATGTTGTAACTGAAAACTTGCACTTTAAAGCAGAAATCTATTTGTGAATTGCAAAACAGACACTCCCAAGCTCATGATTAAAGAATAAAGACAAATAACCTGATAAAAATCAACTTACTCTCGAATAGCGATTTTCTCTGAATGTCTTGAGGACACAGATGACATGCTTTGTGACATCTAAAACAAGAATCAGAATTGAAAGATGTTAGCAATTAAAAGTATTTATTTTTATAGTATGTTAACCTACTCAGATACCTTACGAGGCTCAAGTATTTGCTAAGAGCTGTTTGCATGGGTCATGAGCAGTGCACTGATCATCAACAATTCCCTCTTGCAAGTCAGCCTATATCTGACCTTTCTGCTACCAAGAATTCCTTTAAGCTATACAACATGCGCAAATTATGCAGATTTCTATTTTTGGTAGGAAAATTCTTCAGATTCAGTTCACTTATATTGCTCTCACACATTCTTTTGAAGTAAGGAATTAAATGTTCTTTGAAATTAGATAATTAATCATGTACACAAAGATTGGTTTATTGAATGTGTTATCAAATTTCTATACTTAAAGGATATATTCAGAAATGTCATGTTCCTGTGTATTACATTGCTGTCTATGTCCCAATCAAGATTTATAAAAATCCTGCAACAAAAAATACAACTATGGTCTTTAAAAGTTGTGCTCCTTCCTTTAACATACCATATCTATTTTTTTCAGCAAACAATCCAAAAATGCAAAAAAAAAAAAAAAATATGCATGCTTGCAAATATGTGTTACCTTTTGCATTATCCATATTTCATTTTATCCATATGCCATCTTGTAGAGTTTAATCATTGGCACTAATGGGAGAAGTGCTACCATCTAATCACTCTCTCATAGAAATTCCTCTTTAGGTACCAGTTTAGTTCTTTGACAGGAATTGGGCATGCAGTAGAGCAGTTCTATCTCCACCTTAATTCCTACATGTTTCCTGTTATACACCACTTGTTTTAAAATAAGTTGTAAACAAATGACAAAGGAGAACACAGGACAGGACTGAGAGGGGGTCACACTGTTCTGTGCAATGATGCTTTCTGGCATTTATCCAAATAAGTGCTGCTGACTTTTATTGCCCCGTAAAAAAACATTCCGTTGTGGATCACCTTTTTAGAGCTCATTTGAGCTTTGGTTTGTAGGCATTCAGGATGCGATATTGCCACCTCCTGAATGCCTGTTTTTTATTCCAAAGGAGATTTTCATTGCAAAACCATAACACAGCGGCATTGGTAAGTGGTTGCCATGCAGCTGCGAAGCAGTCCCATTGACTTCAATGGACGCATTTGGCAAGTCAAACGTGACATGCTGTATAAAATTTGCCACAAAGCATCGCAGCCATTGCATGTGTACTTATCTGAGTGGCTGTTAGTTTTTAGGCAACATGTAAAGAAAATGACACCACTTCTTCCCTGTGTTTCAGATTGCCCGGTGCAGAGAGAAATCAGGTGATCGTCCCAGGAGCTTGTCCACTCTCCCAACACATTCTCAGTCCTTTAATCCCAAACAGCCGCACTCTGAGCTTACCACACTTTAGGTGGGCAGTAAAAAAGAAGATCAACCACCTCTTTATACCGCCCCTTTGCTCTATGTGTAAACAAAAGGGAGGTGTGGAAAGCCTATGACCTGTGAAGCTTGCACGGTTGAAGACAGAGCATCCCAGGCCTGGCACAGCAGCTACAAGACAGAATTTTGCAAAGGTAAATGCATGCACGCACTATTTTTAGCTTAGGGTTTCAGGTGTGTTTTCATAAAAAAATTACCTCTGCTTTAAGGAAATTTGTAATCTTCCTAGAAAAATAAATCCTCTAATTCAGATGTACAACACTAGAAAGGAACCAACATGCCAGACTAGGGCTGGCTGTTATGTACATCTGCTCTAAATCCTGAAAAACGTCATAGCTTTTCCGTGATGGCAAGAAGAGACAATTGTAAAATCTTAAAGGAATCTAACCAGCACAAAGTAGAATACCCTTTAAAGCACACTGCAAAATGCACCTACATGTAATTTTAAAGATTATTTTGACAAATACCATGATGTAGCCTTTTTTCAGGAAAAATGAATAACAGAAGCTTGCAAAAGAGCCCATCATACAATAACATAGATACAAACAAGAACATTCTCCTTAAGAAAATGCAAAATGTGTATTTTACTACTGCTTACTTACCATATGACAAAGTCTAATGAGTTGGTTAAAAGGGCTCACAAAGTATACCTTTATATACATGGTTGGCATGCAGGCAACATATGAAATCCTGCTACTCAGAGGGTGGGTGCCATTAAAAAATTCCAATTACAGTTATATAATTCTAAAACCCAGCTTGTACTCATTTATTCCTTAAACTGCCAATACAGTTTATAAATGACATACATATTTGTGATGCACTGCCAAATTAAATCCATACCTAATGGCATACAAACCAGAGAGTCACCAGAAATGCATATTTGATAAATGAACACAGGAGCAGAAATATGTGCATTCTGATTAAAGGTCAAGAACAGTTAGATGTTTAGCTCTGATACAACAGCCACATATCTATGACTCTTAAGGGAAGAATTTACAAACATATTTATAATTAAAATCAAATGAGTTTTAATAAATCTTCTTCCAGTAAGTGTAGAATGAAAATATACAAAGATAGGATTTGTGAGCTTGTCATTAAACTTTATGGACAATGGTGTGTGTGGGGCTATGCTGGGGTTTCATTTTTAATGGAACAATATCCAATAACTCCTACATATATTCTCTGGATCAACAATCTATGATTGAAATCCGTGGGTGTCCAAGAGTGCACCAGATAATAATTTGTTACTTAGATTGGTGAAAACTGGGAGATCCAACTCACAGGAGAAGTTAGCAAGGTCTAAACAGATGAGACCCAAAATGACAAAGCCAAAAAAAAAAACCAGAGGGAAGTTGCCTGTACAATTCTGTGGAATTATATTCTATTTCTGCCTGATTCATTTATTTAAAGGTCTATTGCAGATCCCTTTAGAAAATACAGTCTGAGACTGGCTTTACTGGTAGGCACTATTAGCAGTGCAACAGACACCACAGGTGCCATTTCACAATTTACAAATGTGAAAGCGGACAGACCCTATCAATCTACAAGCATATAGACATTGAGAGTACATAAATTAGACATGAAATGCAAGCATTGTGGGAACACATTAAAGGACATGAGCGTTAGAGGATATTGCTAAGCTCTTTGATGCCAATATGAGAAATTTAAATAGAGAGTTCCACCTTAATTTATTCTCATTGATCAAACTTTGGATTTGCCGAAGGAGCTGAAGGTCAGAAAGCAGCAGTATGTGTTGAAAATCAGATTAAGTCCTCCTATACAGATATTCAACTAATTCCAAAGTCAAATGGGCCCACATGATCCTTACAGAACCTACTTTTGACTCTTTGCAAGCTTCTTCTTCAGCTCAAAACAAGAAGTATTATCTCAGTGGATGCAGCTGAAAGGCTCTGCAGGCAGATGCTCACTGGGAAGACCTGATTGCAACCAGGACCAGAAGTGCTGTATGGCTGAGGGTGGTTAAGTTGTCTATTACTCCTGATTCTAATACTGTTTACCTGCTAAGCTTAATCTTTTTAAACAATTACATTTTAATGGCTCAAACCAAACCAAAAAGATAATCCCTGCTGGAATTAATTGAAATATTTATCCTCCTTTACTGGCAACTGTTATCTGACTGCATATGCCATTGTTACTGTATGTTGCTTTTGCAATCTTTACTATATTCTCTTCGAATGCAGTAGTTTTGTCCATTTTTGTAACTGTAAGGCTAAAAAGTGCTTTATGAACTTCATATCATTCGAACATGTATTGCCAATTTGAATGGTACTCAAACTCGACTGCACATTGTACACACAAGATGTGCATTGAATCTTCTTGGCCCTACACATTCTTGGTATTGCTGGACAATGCAAGGAAATCATATAAATCCAGGTACATGCTTAGTTTTAAAGCCCATCTCTGGGCAAAAAGTCAGCCATCTAGGTCCTTCGTCAGAGCTGTTTCTAGGTGTGGGGACCAGTAACCAGATGTGCATATGAAGTTCAGTCCTCGACGATTACACCTTGCTGGCATTGCTGTTGAGACTCTTCTTCTGTACCCTGAGAGGACCCCACCACTGGACAGCCAATAAGGTGTCTACATCACACTGTCTTAACACAAACAGACGCAGGCCCGGTAGAATAAAAAGATGGTGCTACTAATTTTGTAGGTCCTGCGATAATTGCGCAAATGAAATATACAATTCAATTGATAAAGCACACTAAAATCAGTATCCCTGCATGTAAAAAATACTTTTCTGACTAAATCTAAAAGATAAAACTTCATTGAGTTAATAAACAACAAATATTTGTAAATTTTAAATTGCGCCTTGAAAAAAATGAAGTAATGCAAAACTGTAAATAAGTTTAATAAAAATGTTAAAAATCGTTTGTGCGCTGTGTTGGTGTTTGAATAGTGATAAAATGATACAGGCGTACATTTAATCGCAAATTAATGTTATTTCAAAAAGGAAAAGAAATTAAGCCTTGTGATGCGTTCTAACAATGCCCCGCAGCGCATGTGCATGGTATACACCACAATATGGTGCACGCGTATGGTGTGTGTGTGTGTGTTGGGGGAGGGGGGTTGTGTTGGTTTTTTTCTATTTAAAATAACAGACCCCTGGCATTTCTTTTTTGAAATAGAAAAAGAAATTGAGGAAATCCTCAATCTCTTTTTCTGCAGCCTCAACACTCAAAGAATGTAAAGCACTCAGTAGAGAGGCTTCCCATTCATAACTGGTTGTAGTAAAACATTTAATATCATCCAGTTTATGAATGGGTAGAAGCCTGTATACTGAGGCTTCCACCCATTGAGAAACTCATGAATGAACAGGAAGTGAGGTAAAGCACTCCCTGTTCATTCATAACTGGGGACAGATAGTACTGTGTCCCCAGTTAGTTACAAACATTGGAATGATCACCTGAGCACTCCAGTGTTTGCTCTGCACAGAGGATAGGTAAATATTACCCATATTTACCGATCCTCCCACTCTGCATCCTAACTCGCTCGGCACGCACAAACAGATCTTGAATCTGACAGCTGGCGGCTCTGCTTTCATTACTGTTCAGCCATTCTG